AACGAAGCGCCCCGATCGCTTCGCTCTCCGAATTCTTCAGTTTCGCGCTCGTCCACTCCGGCTTTCCTCAGCGAATTTTTTTCCGTCTTCGCCGAGAGCCTAGCTGTTTGCAGGCTATATCTAGCATGAACGACGAAGTACAGTTCTCTTGTTTCCTTTAAAAGTGTTGGTCGTCTTCAAATCACAGGATGTTCGTCATCATGTCACGGAGTCCTCTTAAAGTCTGTTTTTGTGGTTTTACTGACATGTTTAACTTACATGATTTTATTACAAAACAGCTCCGGGTTGTGTATTATTATGATGCAAATGAAATTTGTAATCTAGTAGGTTATATAGTGGTTTAATTAATACTACCGTGACAATCTTGGGATTTTCAACAGTACATGGTTTGAAGCCTTTGAACCCAGGGGAGTGTCCGTTATNAGTTTTGCCTTCCTTTAGGGGTTTGATTCAATACGACGAGCATCCCCGATTTCTTTCATTTAAGAGCCCTCCCGGCGAGACCAAACGAGGCGCCCCGATCGCTTCGCTCTCCGAACTCTTCAGTTTCGCGCTCGTCCACTCCGGCTTTCCACAGCGAATTTTTTTCCGTCTTCGCCGAGAGCCTGTTTGCAGGCTATATCTACCATGAACGACGAAGTATAGTTCTCTTGTTTCCTTTTAAAAGTGTTGGTTGTCTTCAAATCACAGGATGTTCGTCATCGTGTCACGGAGTCCTCTTAAAGTCTGTTTTTGTGGTTTTACTGACATGTTTAACTTACATGATATTATTACAAAACAGCTCCGGGTTGTGTATTATTATGATGCAAATGAAATTTGTAATCTAGTAGGTTATATAGTGGTTTAATTAATACCACCGTGACAATCTTGGGATTTTCAACAGTACATGGTTTGAAGCCTTTGAACCCAGGGGAGTGTCCGTTATTCGTCTGATTGCTAACGAGTGATCGGCTTAGATGAGCTTCGTACTGAAATAGACTCGGCTGTTTTGGTTATTAGTGACGTTTCACCACTGGGACAAGCTGGGCGGAA